GGGGGCCCGGCCGGGCGCAGCTCTCCGCGGCTCAGGAGGGAGGCGAGCCGCACGAGGGGGGCGAAGCTGAGCAACACACAGCGCACAGAAGTTGTTCTGATCGTTTTATTTCAAACCCCTTCACTCTCCCATCCCACCCCCCTCAACCAAAAAAAACAAACAAACCAACCATCAGTCAAAAAGGACAATAAAAAAAATGAGTTACAAACACAAAAGTCAGTTCTCCCTCACTGACAGCGACACAGCGCACAGAAGTTGTTCTGATCGTTTTATTTCAAACCCCTTCACTCTCCCATCCCACCCCCCTCAACCAAAAAAAACAAACAAACCAACCATCAGTCAAAAAGGACAATAAAAAAAATGAGTTACAAACACAAAAGTCAGTTCTCCCTCACTGACAGCGTACAAAAAAACTGGGAACCTCACAGCAGCCCCCCAAACAGGACCTGCAGCAGTTACCATCGTCTCCATACGAGAGGCCAAACATGCCTATTAATACAATATATACAGACAAACCCACTCCGGAACGAATCCACAGGTACAGCCAGTCTCCCCCTCCCCTAACCCCCAAAAATAATCAAACACACCCAAAGTGCATTTGTTGCGTTTATATCAAAAACTTTTTTTCCCCCCGAAAGATTGGCCTGCAAGTCTGTTTTACCATTTAGTAACTTTTTAATATAGTTTATGAAAATAAATTATAGAGCGACTATTTTAATAAATTAAGCACACACAAAAAAAAAAATATGAGAAAATTAAGCAAAGCTGCATTTCTACCAAACGGTGGTTCAATAGTGCTGGGTCCGGGCGGGCCCGGACACCCGGCTCAACCCTTCCTCCTCCCGCGCCCCGGAGAGCTGCGCAGGAGCCAGCGCCTTCAGCCCGCACAGGGTCCTGCTTCCTACCCCGCTCAAATTGGCCAAGATCAGTGGTATTTGCCCATTTCTTCTGCTCCCATTTCTTTAACGGGAGTTCAAATCCAGTGTTACATAACGCTCGCCAGTTTTCAAGAGTGATTCTCAAAGTAAGAAAGTGTGGGGGGGTCCCCCTATTGCGTACCAAGGCCCGGAAGGTCTCCCCTGGAGACCGCTGCGGTTCTCGGCACCGACTGCGCTTTTGGGCTCCAAGCACCAGCAGAGGAACAGCCGCGGCTCGCCAGCGGGGAGAGCGGGCACGGCTTTAGGCGTCCCACCCCGGGTCACGCAGGGATGGACTCCCGCGCCGATGCTGAGCGCACCCTGCCAGACCCTGGGGACATCTCAGATCAGGAACTCGGGTCCTGCCTGCTCCGTTTCGCATGGAAGACTCTGGATTACAAACAAGTTAGCAGGAAAGCGTGGCCAAGAAGGGGAGCGCTACAGGTTTTATTCGGAGCACGTTAATGAAAACCCTTCATCCCCAAAAGCCAAGGTGACTCAGACATGTCTGGGTCCCCAACAAGCCCTCCAACCAGCAGGCTCAGACTCTAAGTTTAATTTTGAGGGTAAAATCATCAAAATGTCAGATCTTAACTGTGAAGAACAAAGGGCAACAGCCAGTTCCCTTCCTACTGAAAGCCGGAAAATCCTTCCTTGGGCAAACCCTGCTTTTCACAATTCTCCCCCAACAGCTCCCGGACAAGACTCCAGCCCCAACCATCTGCACCAGAGCCTCTCCGGACGGGGCACAGCCCTTGCACGTTTGCTTCCAGCCTGTCTCCCTGCGCCCACACGCTCACAGGCACGAAATGACACAGACCCCTATTAAGACACTTTTAAGGTCTTAGAAGTGGTCAGATATGTAAGATAGTGCCATGCACCCAGCAGGCCATAACTGCTTTCCAAACCACTCTCTGATTCTCCATCTCCGATGTGAGCACTTTAGGCCTTTCCTACCCTACCAGCTGCAGGTCTTAAAGCAGTTAGGCCAAACCAAGCTCAGAACCGCTTTGCTCCTGCCCTTTAGCCTCAAAAGCAGCCAAACACTTCCGTGTGAGAAAACTGTACTGGCACAAGGCAGAACATGTAAATGAAACTGGTAAGCCAACACGAGAAGGCCACGACTGATGCTTTTCAGTATTTGAGAAGCAGCTTACCAGAGGGTGAAGTCAACAAGGAGCAGAAGTCTGAATACAGGCGATGCCCAGAGGCCTCTGCGAAGCCTCCCGCCTCGAGGCCAGGAGCCAGTCCCAGGCACGCTAGCGGAAGCACCTTGCTGCGCAGCTAGAGAGCTGTGTCCTCATCAGCCTTGCAGCCACGTCCAAAGGTCCCCTGCTCTGGACAGCAGTGCCACCAGCAAAGTGCAGGCGACGGCTGCCGCATGCAGTTATTGCGGCATGAATAGGTTGGAGTAGGCTCAGAAGCGGATCTACAGCAGGACAGGTACCGTTCAGGTTACCACTGCTCTTACCTGGCAGGAGTCATATTTCACTTCGTAATGGTAGTAAGCGATGGATTCAAATCCTGGTTTGACAGCTGGCTGCTTTCCAAACCCACAACTTTACTAGTTGTACGCACAGATGTTTTCATATCACTGGGAACAGCTATTTCTTCCCTCCTCCTGCAAAAACACACTTTCACACTGGGTCATCTTCAAGAGTAAGTCACACCCAATGCTCGCGAAGCCTCAGTTTGTATGAATTTTGCACTGCAGGAACAAGTCATTTCACTGCCTTGAAACACCGCTGCAGTGAAGAGAGATGGAGGCATGTATGGAACAGCTGGTTTAAGCAAACTGCTATGGAACCCTGTCAGCTTCATAACAAGGTACAACATACATCTGGAAACTCTGTACCCATCAACTACAAGCACCTGATCCTATGGAAAAAGGAGCTCTTCCAAGTGTACTTCCTACATTTTTATAGTTTTTATGGTCTGTTTCACTATACATCCATCTCCTGTCCCTAATTAAGAAAGGGAGGAGGAAGGCAATAACCTTTCCAGAATTCAAGGTTGGACAAAGGAGGCTATAAAACATCTTTAGAAGCAGCAAGATGACAGCAGCACCCTTCAGAACTAGGTAACCAGGTGGAGAAGAGCCCTAGAAAGCCTAAAGAGCATCTGCCAGCCTTTATGGCAGAGCTGACCCCACTACTCCTGCCTGATGCAGATCAAGAGGAGGGTCTTGTACAGTGACAGCTGATACACTAAGTGCATGAACGTGAAGCACCCATGTCCCATAACCCCTTATTAAACACCCCAGAGGATGTTTCTTCCATCATTTCAGTTACTGTAAACAACTGACCTTGCAGAGATCACAATCCCTATCCAGAGGGACTTGCAGACGGACTTGGTTCCTCTCTAAAAAGAGGATGGGCTGCAATTTTTCATGGTGGCTTCTGCCACCAGCAGCGATCTTTCTGCTCAGATGCAGATAGCAGAGCATCCTAGCTTGAGACCTTACCACCAGGCTCAGAAAATACAGCTGGGGTGACCAACACAAGGTACAAACTATGCACAGCCCCCAGAGCCCTTTTTAGCTGGCCCCCACTTAGGGAGGGCAATGGCCCTGCTGCGTACAAGTTTCACATAACAGCAGACGCACTAGCCTGCTTGGAGAACTCCTCTCAAGGACGGTAACAGCAGACCAAATACAGATTATCCAAATATTACCCCAAAAGTCTGCCTGCTTCGTCCACAGTTCCTAACACTGCCCAGCTCCCCCATTTGCCCTCAGCTCAGCTGCTCAGCAGG